CGGCCCGAGGCGCTCACTCTCCGGCCGCCGCGCCCCAGGACGGCTGCTGTCCGCTCGCGGCGCGCCTCGCTAACGGCAGTGTGGAACCGCGCCGCCAGATCCGGTTCAAAATCGCGCACCGACCAATCACAGACGACCTCAGCCTCACGACGGCGCACGCGTCGGGGCTAGGGGGCGGGCGCCCAAAAAAATGGAAGTGAGCATGCGCGTGACGTTAGGGAGACGCCAAAAGGGGGCCATTTTGACTAAGGGCACAGTTCGGGTGGGGGCGCTGTGATGTGTTTTGCGGGGGTAGGGGGTGTTTTGTGGTCCGTGTAGGTTCCCCGCCCTTGGCTCCCGCTCCCTTTCCTGTAATTATTCTAATGACCTGTTGACTAATTGCATATTATTCTTGCCTCCTTCTTTCCCCGGGCAGGCAAATAGGGCTCTTGGAAACTAATAACTGAATAGTTTCGGGTCTTACTGTAGAATAGGAAGAATTCCAGAAGGAGACAGAGTAGCAATCATTTTAACCATATTTTCTGAGCTATAATTATCCCTTCATTCATTCAAGCATTCATTCAGACTTTTATTTGATGCACAGTAAGTATGCCAACTTCATGGCAAACACTCTGCTTGATCATGTGGTCTCTGCTTTCCAGTCGCTATGAATGGGGGGAGACAGCTCAAAGAAACAAACAGAAATACAAAACGAAGTGTTATAATCCCCGTATAATAAATGCACTTAAAATCTGGCATTATGCTGGTACAGAGCTTTGGAACTTTGAAAAGATCTGGACCCAACATCAGAAATGCACTTTACACTACGACCGAGTATCAGCAAACTATTCATTCTTAATCTGTTAATGTACTCTCTATCTTTTTTTTCTTCTTTTGTTATTTCTCTGTCTTGGAGTCCCTTCCTTCCTGAATTACTAATCAAGGAGGAATGGCTACCAGCAACTTGACATAATACTGACAAGATAGAGCTTACTAGAAACAGTGAACCAGTCCCTGTGATGGCACACACCTTTAATCCCAGCACCCCCGAGACAGGCAGGAGGATCTCTGTAAATTCAAGGTCAGCCTGGTCTACATAGTGAGCTCCAGGATGGCCCACATCTAATTTCTCTACAGTAACCATCCTGGTCTGCTTTGGTAGTCTAACCTGGAAAACTGTACCCCTCCTTGAGCTCTCTACAACTGTGACATTTAAAAAGGCAGTTCAGCATGGGCGTGGTGGCATGCACCCATAATCCCCACACTTGGAAAATGGAAGCTGAGAGATCAAGACCAGCCTAAAACAAACAGCAGATCCAACTACAACTCTTCCTTACTTAAAACCATTAATAGCGGAGCTGGAGAGATGGCTCAGAGGTTAAGAGCACTGACTACTCTTCCAGAGGTCCTGAGTTCAATTCCCAGCAACCACATGGTGGCTCACAACCATCTGTAATGAGACCTGATGCCCTCTTCTGGCCTGTAGGCATACATGCTGTATACATAATAAATAAATAAATCTTTAAAAAAAAACATTAATAGCTTCATTTCACCTCTCCTCCCTGCTAAAGAGCAGAGCCCTTCCTCAATCTCCAGCCACCCTTCTTAACTTGCTCCCAATGACAGGTCACAAAGTTCACCAAGTACTCCTAGCATCCAGGGCTTTACTTTTGTTGTTCCATCTGCCCCAACACTCTTCCTGCCCCCCCCCATCTGACTAAGTTCCACCTACTCTTCGGGTGGTTTGAACTTTAATTGCTTTCTTCAAAGGAATCTATGCTACCTGCCTCTGTTCCTTTGCTATAAGCACTGTGCCCCCATATGAGTCACCTCGTCTTTGTGTGGTTCTTTTTACTAGTTACTTTTGTATGGCCTCCCACGTGCTAACTGAGCTTTGCCTCAGTCGTCATTAAGTCTTATCTCATTGGACCATTCAGAGGAATAACTCAGATGTCCTTGTAAAACCTAGCACATATCCCAGTATAGAGTAAGTGCTCAGTAAGTGTCCCTTACCTTGCTTTCTGGGCCATCAGCTTCAGAAGGACAGCAGTAGCACACTGTGGTAATACTTTGTGCTCTAACAAATAAAGTTTGTCTGGAGATCAGAGGGCAGAACTAGCCACTAATTAACAATAGAGGCCAGGCATGGTGACACACATCTTTAATCCCAGCACTTGGGAGGAGAAAGCAGGAAGAACAGGAGTTCAAGGCCAGTCTGGGCTACACAAGATTGATCCAGTCTCAAAGAGAAACAGAGCCAGGAAGTGGAGGCTCACCCCTTTAATCCCAGCACTTAGGATCTCATGCCTTTGATCCCAGTACTTGGGAGGCACACACCTTTAATCCCAGCACTAAGGAAGTGGAGACAGAAAGTGATATGGCTGGGCGGAGAGAGGAATATAAGGTGGGAAGAGACAGGAGCTCAGCCCCTTTTTAGGCTGAGGAGTTGGCAAGGCAAGAGGTGGCTGTGGCTTGCTCCTTTGTGTCTCTGATCTTCCAGCGTTTACCTCGATATCTGGCTCCAGGTTTTTACTATTAAGACCAATTAGGATTCCTGCTACAGTACGCCTTTGATTAACCACATTTCCCATTGTGGGCAGCCCCAATAAACAGTCATTCCTGTGCAGGTGAGTTGAGCTCAACCACATGGTGGCAGTATTCCACCCCACCACCCAGTCTACATGGTCCAAAGGATGCCTGGGGGCGGGTCCTCTCCACCGGCACTGTCCCACTCAACCCCCTTTGCCTGCTGCACCAGTGTATTGAGAAAAAAAATGCAATGTGTGTGTGTGT